CCCTATATAACCCCTATAATCCTTGTAGTTTCCATTTTCTTCTCCATTATCCCTATATAAGCGCTACTAATGCGTACTAACCTTAGGATGGGGACTCGCCGGGCCGGAGCGGCCGCTGCAGCTCTGCAGGGCAAGCTCTACGTAGCTGGGCAGCTGCCCTTGGGCATTAGGTACTAAGTAATAGTAATAATAATAATAGTAATAATAGAGGTGCGATTCAGACTGAGACATGCAGGGCATCAGGCAATGTTAAGGTTCCAGCCTGTTCCAACGAGGTGCAAAACGAGTGCTAGTACACTTCCACCCCTGGCGCAATTCTTGTTGTCGGTGGTCTATGAACTATCCTATTGGGATTTTGCGCTGCATGCCGTTGTGGTTCTTGACAAGGTGTGCGGTGGAGAGACAGGAACCTCCGGCATCAATGACTTCTCGGCACTCAACACGGCAGAGCGATTCACCCCACGTGTAGCTCGGGCTGAACTGGTACTCAGACGCCATGGCAGTGGAGGCTCCTCCGCCTGGGTGCTGTGCACTTCCTTGCTCAGGTTGGCTGCTGGGAAGGTTTGCCTCCGATGTCTGAGCCGCGTGGTGGGGATGCGAACGGTGATCCCAACATTGCTGCTTGCGTGCTGGGTGAATTCTTGTATGTGGCCTGGAGGAAATCTTCATTGGGCGGGATAGGGGTTAAAAAAACTTTATAAGCATCAAAAAAAACTTTTTAAGCATCAAAAAAAACCTTTTTGCTTATTTCCTAGGGAGTACAACAACCTGGAAAGTTTTTTTTTGATGCTTGGGCTTCGGCCCTACACCTTGGCCGGCGGAGAGCAGGAAGGAAGGAAGGAAGGAAGGAAGGAAGGAAGGAAGGAAGGAAGGAAGGAAGGAAGGAAGGAAGGAAGGAAGGAAGGAACGAAGAAAGAAACGAAGGAAGGAAGGAATAAATCAAGCGAGCAAGGAAGGAAGCAAGGAAGGAAGGAAGAAAGAAAGGAAACAAGGAAGGAAA